GTAGTTGTCAATGCCCAGTCATTATCTCCTAGGGGGTGAAAAAAGAGCTAAGGCTTTTGGATGGTTAAGACTGTAAACCTGTGGGGACTCTTGGAAAGAAAGGCTATATATGAATGGAAATAAGCTGGCCTGAATGTAAAGCCTAGAAAAAAACTGGAGAAGAAAATGATTTTAGGAATAAAGGGGAGTTTGTTCAGAGTTTCAAGTAAGCTGAGTGGATTTCATTTCAGATATTCTGTAATGAAATGCAGAGATAATTTTAGAAGTTATTATTCATCAATCAATTAAGCCAGGAAGTTATTTAATCACCCCTCCCCAAACAATTTTTTAGGCTTCCTGTTTCAGTCACTGTTGTGATGACAGGTGGGGGAACCTACCTCAGAAGGTGGGTTAGAGGTGGGTGGGTGGTGGTGGTGGCCATGACATATGGTATAAACATCCATCTATTTTGTGAGGAAAAAGTGCTGGGGTGTTTTGATGAGGAGCGAGAGAGCACACAAATCTGCAATTTCCATTTTCTTGTTCTGCTCTTTGACTTTTTCACTGGAAACTTTCAATTTCTTGCAGGTACGATTTCTATGTCAAAACCTGGCTTATATTTTGGTGTCTAGAAACCCCTCCCCCAGGATCCAGTGACTGCTTTATTGCTGTTTATGCTAAGTTGTGTTATTGTTCAAAATATCAATTGGCTTTTCTAAAATGTCCTTCCTGTGGTGCCTGTCCTGTTGGAAGGATATCTATCCCTGCTCCACTGAACTCAAGGGTGGTCCCGAGACTTGCTTTACTCAGAGAAGTAGGAGTAAAAATGATTCATGAGACCTCTGAGCAGAAAATCTAGGAGCTCTTGTGTGTTTCTACTGTGCCTCTTTCCTTCTGCTGTGAACCAGCCAGATCATAGTTGGCCCTATCAGCCTGAGTTCCAGTTAAAGCTGACTTGGAGAGAAGCACTATATAGCTGCTCTGTGATGGACATGTAGTTGAACCAGACAGAAGGCCAATGAAGCCTGAGGCCATTTGTTACTGCAGCAACACAGCCTAGCCTCACTGATCTAGCTATGAAAACCTTTGGGACCTAGTTAGTGAAAATAATTGTCTTTCTCTTTGTCTTACTTGTCATATGCACACCAGTATTGCCATATGCAAGGGCACTTTGCAGGCCAATGTGCTGGTCCAGGAAAAAGCTGTGAAAACATTCACTAAAAGTTAGGCTCCAGCATCATAACATATTCCAGTTATTTTCTAGCAAAGGGCTTGGCAGAGAGTGGATGCCCTCAGAAGGCCAAGATCACGTTGATCTTGCCCATTGCTGTATCTCAGGGGTTAGTAAAGTGCCTTGCTCCTAAGGGTTTGGTAATTATTTGTTGAATCAATATTGAATAATTGAACAAATAAGAAATTGAACATCTCTATTCCAATAGATGGCACATGACATTTTGGATTTGAAAAAAATTTACTTCATGTTTAGGGTTTAAAAAACAAGTTAAGGCCGGGGATTTAGCTCAGTGGTTCTGGCTCCTGTCTTGCAAGTGCAAGGTCCCGAGTTCAATCCCCAGTACCAAAAAACAAAAACAAAAAACAAGTTAAGTCTAATAAGGAAGTTGGTGAGAGCCACACCAGGTATCACAACCCAAAATGCCACTCAGGCCTATGGATAAAGCATAAATGAGTGAGGCAGACTGAACCATTTCAGTACAAAAGTATAAGCCTTGCTATTTTTCTCAAAATAGGTAGTTCCCAGAGTCTACTTTTAATTTCCTCACATTTTGATAGAGATGTGCATGTGGGCATATTTTTCTCTCTATAAGAAAAACAAAAGCACAAGCATAATGACAGACTCATAGTCAGCCTCAGCTTCTAGGGGACAAAAGTGGTGACCTGAAGAGCATACACATCTTGTCAAAAGCAAAGTGTTTCTCCCGTTGAGTGCTGCCATGTTGGAACATGGACCTAGTTTCTTCTGAGAATCCTAATTTTGGGGAGAAGCTGGTAATGTGGATTTGGGTTTTGAATTCTCTCATTTTAAAATAACTAAAAACACCCACGATTAACACCATGTAGGCCCAACAATACACCTTTGGAGGACAAATTTGACCTTTAGGCCACTATTTACAACTGACCTCAGTTAATTTCCAGATATGGTGTATGGTGTAAAACTGCTGGACTTTAATATCATATTTGCATAAAGGTATGCATGTGTATGGTTTTTAGAAAACACCTGGAGGGATGCTGATGCCATTTCCCTTATCCCCAAACCACATCTTGTGACTCATCATTCCAGCTGCAGGAGGCTGCTGTTCATTCATTCTGAGTCTCTCCTTGATTTAGGCCAAGGTCTTTTGGCTGAGTATTTCTAAGACTAATTTGGAGATTTGGGTACTAAATTATACTCAGAGTGTACTTGCTGAAATGGAAAGTTTAAATTTTTTGGAAGCATGTTCATTTCTTTCTCTCAGATATTATTAGGAACTGTCCAATGTCCTCCAAAGGAAAAGACATTGGCTTGGATGAAGATGCAAAGGGCTTGGAGTACCAGGACAGGGAAAGGTCTGGAAGAGGAGAGAGGAGCCTAGATACGGGGCAGTGTTCTTGCTTTCACCTTTTTTGTTTTTATTGTTTTTTAAGATTGGACAGGTATGGACTACAGTAGTAGCTGTTTGAAGATATCTATGACTTGGTGATGTGCCCAATAGATAGTGTTTAAAGGGGACAATTATTTTGCTTGCAATCACCCAGCACCACCAGACACTTTTCTCCTATGTTGGAAATTTACCTCATTTTCAAGCCTGTCTCAAAAGTAGAGGGTAGATCTCACCTTCCTGGTCTCTCTTACAACCAGTGATCATGACTATGATTTAGGCTCTGTGTGACAAGCTTCTTTTGTTTGCCCTTCTGGATCAACTGTCCACCCCTTTCCACATGCCTTGTACCCCAGGAGGTTGCCCGGAGTGGACCATGTCTCCAAGGTTTCCTTGTGGCTTGTTTCTGTTGGTTTTAGCTAATGGCAGATAGTGGCAAGAGATGGAGAGTAAGAAGCAAGCACAGTGAGGACCTTGATCCCCTAGATCCTTCTGTGCCAGCAAGTGTTCTGACTGTTGCTTCATTTCCATAGTTGAGACCCCAGCTTGTGAAGGGAAGTTCTTACCAGGTGCCAGGAATAGCTCATTTCCTCCTGTTGCTAGTCCTTGGGTGCTTTACCATTTTACCTGTGGCATGGTGAATCGTTTCCCAAATAATTTTCTCCATTTATCTTCTGAGTACGTGCAATCTCTTTTCTGCCTGTACTCTCACTGATTCATTCTGTCAGTCAGACATGTCTTTGCTGAACTTTGGCAACAAAGCTGATGACAGAACAGGGTTAGAACAATGTGATGGTTAATTTTGTGTATCAACTTGGCTGGGCCATGGTATCTAGATACTTGGTCAGACATTATTCTGGATGTTTCTGTGATGGTATTTTAGATGATATTAACATTTAAATTTGTGGACTTTTGAGTAAATTAATTTACATCTATAATGTATGTGTGGAGATCTCATCCAATCCATGGAAGCCTGGAATAGAATGGAAAACTGATCTCTTTATGGCAAGAGGAATTTTGCCAGCAGATGGGCTTTGTACTCCACTGCAGCTCTTCTCTGCTGGTCTTTGAGATCAGATTTTTGGACTTGCCAAGCCTACGCAGTCATATGAGCCAATTCTTTAAAATAAATCTCTCTCTCTTTTAGAGGTTAAGGTCAAATTCTCAGCATGGCTGTGGCTGTGGTGATGGCAATAGTTTTATCATCAAGATAGTTCTGCCATGTGGGTTATGAAACTCCTGATTCTAGAAGCTCATCTCAAACTTGGTTCTCCAGAGGAGGGTGCACCACCCTTCAAATACCCTCCTTTGCTTATTCAATTTGAGTCTAGCTACTGTTAACTGTGACAGAAGCAAGGACTAAGCATAGTTGGAGTAAGGTCCAATCATAAACAAATTTTTATTTATTTTTGGTGACTTAAAAATATTTATCAAATGTAGTTTCATGGCATTAGAATGAATTTTTTTCTTGCAATAAATAATAAATGTACTACCATTCAGCTGTACTATTTTTTCTTCCTTTGAGGTCTAATGTACTTTTCCAGATTGGCATAAATAATAAATTACTCAAGCACGTTATCATTCTCTTATTTAATTTCACTTCTGAATGTCCCTGAAATCTTGATTTAGTATGAAGAAGCAAATGTGATTGTGTCTGAAGGAAATTACATTCTAAGAAGGCACATGTGTGGTGGCCTGTGTTCCTTTTTCTCTTGTTCTTTATATAAACATGGAGTTAAGCTTACAGTTTCTGTGACATTTGTGGAAGGATTAATTTCTACAAAATAGAAGATTTAAAACCTGCCTGAGGACTAGTCCCACTTGCTGGGTAATATAACCCTTGTTTTTTATTCTGATATAATAATGTCTTAACTTTTTGGCTTTCATGGAAATGCATAAAAGGATGAAATACGTGACAAAACACTGTTTCTTTTCTTGATGTGTGGATTAATAAACTAATGGCTCCATTCCTAAATTGAACACCTTTGGTAAAATATCCTTTTAAGTGTGACAATTATTTTTCAAATGGACTTTATTTGGTATAGTAGTTTTAGGTTCACAGAAAAATTGAACAGAAAGTACAGAGCATTTCCATTTTATACCCTGGCACAACTGCTCCCTTAGAGTATACATTTGTTAAAATCAAGCAACCAGCATTTTATAACATTATAACCCTAAATTTATAGTTTACATAAAGTTTCCTTCTTGGTGTTGTACATTCTATGGGTTGTGACATTCTATGGTTGTAATAATGATATATATGCACCATTATAGTACTGTGGTGGATTGACTAATGGTCAACTTGTAATGCCCAGCTGAACTGAATCAGCATGGTCTGGGCGTGGAGGATCCACCTGAAGATTGTTACCAATAGCCATAAAAAGAGAACTGGAGGAGAAAATCTTGGCCTGTTGATTTTCTAGGAAAAGCTTGCTGCGGATGATTTTCTTGATGCAAACTAGGATGTTCTCATCGGAGGAGCTCAGGGCCTCACTGTTGCTGGGAATGGCTGCTGTTTTCATCAGGGGAGCTCTGATCTTTACTGTGAGTATCACTTCCTGGCTCCAATGTGGATCCCTCAGCTTGGTGGCACCAATCCTTCATCTTACTGGCATAGATTTTCTGGCTTCCACCGCTGGCCTTTGGGCCTTCCAGGTACAGATCCTCAATACAGACAAGCATGGGACATTGCCTTGGATGCTAAGCTGGACTTATGTGGGAAACTGCTGGGATCTAGGCCCTCAGCTGAATCCTGTGGGCTTCTAGTGTGCGGTTAATCTCTTGCACTCCTTTGCATTTGACTTTGGGTAATTACCATAAAATAATCTTATAAATTATGTGTCCTGTATTTAATATATTCCCTTGCCCAATACTTCTGACTACGTGTCATACAAAATAATTTTGCTGTCCAAAAAATTCCTCTGTGCTTCACCTATTCATCCTTCCCTCACCCCAACTACTGGCAATCATTATCCTTTTTACTATCCCCACCCTTTTCCAGGGTGTCATATGGTTGCAATCATACAGTGTGTACCCTATTCACATTGGCCTCTTTTACTTAATGATACACATTTAAGGTCACTTATGTCTTTTTGTGGCTTGGTAGTTCATTTCTTTTTAGCACCAAATAATGTTCCATTGTACAGATGTACTATCGTTTATCAATTCACCTTTTGAAGGACATCAATTCTGATTTTTCCTTTTAATTTGTACCTTTTTTTCAATTTAAATATTTAACACTGTGGGTAGAATACTTGCCATAGATGTGTGGATGGTATATTGCAAATGTTTCCCTGGTGGCAGTGATGGTGGCAAGAGTTTACTCACCAGACTACATGACACAGGCTCCACATTTAATTTTTAGCAGCTCTGTCTGTCATGTTAAGACTAAATAGCACAAACATGGGACATGAGCACAAGCAAATTTTTAAATTTAAGCTTCTGTTTCCTTTTTTCATTTGTATAGCAGTGATAAACTTGATCTCTTTTTGCTCCTCAAGGCACATTTTCTAAATATATTCTGCTCCGATTGCATTAATGAAAACTCTTATGGCTGCTTATGTGTGGTACCCCAGAGATCACACATGAGGACCCTAATCCATTGATTTTCCAAGGCAACATCTAAAAGGAAAATACAAATCCTTCTAGAGAGTTCATATACAGGGATACAGAGCAGGGGATTGGTTGCAAAATCTTGGAATGGCTGGAGAACCCACATAAGGAAGATGGCATTGCCTGGAAGTCAGGAAGCTGCTCGCAGCAAAACCATAGTCTGAAGAGACAAAGCAAACAGCATCAGATCCAGAGGTAGTAGAAATTTTGGAATGATCACATCAAAGAATTTAAATTAATTACAATTAATATGCTACAGGCACTAATGAAAAAAGTAGATTACATGGAAGAGTAGATGGATAATGCAGGCAGAGAAGGAAAAAGTCTAACAAGGCATCAAAATAAAATTCTAGAAATAAGTTGAAACATAGTAGCAGACATAAGAAATGCCTTTTATGGGCTCATTAGTAAACTAGACATGGCTGAGGAAGGAATCAGTGGGCTTGAAGATAGGTCAACAGAAACTTTCTGAGCTAAAAAGCAAAAAATAAAAACGGAAAACTGGAACAGAATATGTAAGAGCTGTGGAACAACAACAAAAGATGCAGTATACCCATATTGGGAACACCACAAGAAAAAAAGGGATAGAAGTATTTGAAGTAATGCTGGCTGAGAATTTTCCAAAGTTAATGACAAACACTGAACCATAGATCTAGGAAGGTTAGAGGCCATCAGGGAGGATAAATACTTTAAAAGGTCCACCTATGCACAGTGTATTCAAACTACGGGAAGTCAAAGAGAAATTGTAAAAGAGGTCAGAGGAAGAGTATCTGTTACCTGTAGAGAAATCAGGATGAAAATTACATTATACTTCTTTTTAGAAATGATGCAAGGAAGAAAAGAATAGAATAAAGTATTTAAAACATTGAAAGAAAAAAGCCATCCACAGAAAATTTTATATCCAGTAAAACTGTCTTTTAAAAATGAAGGATAGAGCCGGGGATTTAGCTCAGTGGTTCTGCCACCTGCTTTGCAAGCGCAAGGACCCGAGTTTGATCCCCAGTATCAACAAAACAAAACAAAAACAAAAAACCAAAAATGAAAGACAAATAAGATACTTTTAGACAAAACAACTAACAGGTTTTTTTGTCTATTTCTTCCAGTAGACCTGTTTTGTAAGAAATGTTAAAGGAATTTCATCAGAGAGAGGGAAATTATACAAGTCACAAACTTGGATCTAGATAAAGGAAGGAAGAGAGAAACAATATAAAGGTAAAATATTTTCTTATTCTTAAATGATATAATAGCTTATTTAAAATAATATATTGGATAATATAGCTTACAGATAAATGTGACACAAATGGCAGCAATATAAGGGATGCAAAGTAGTAGAGTATTTTTTATCACCAAGTTTATTGGTACAATTTAGGTATACATAATGATCACATTCATTGCATGGAATTTGTACCTGTACATGATATATCTTGATTCATATTTTTTCCATTCCCCACTAACTACCCTCCTTCTCCTTCTTATTTACAAGAGCTTTGTTTCTATTTTTTTTTTCTCATTTTTTTTTTCTTTTCCTTTCCTTCCTTTTCCTCTCCTCTCTCCCTTGTATCTCTTCCCATTTGGACATTTTCTTCTATTTTACAATATCTATTATATATTTTGGTCCTTATTTACACTTTCAGTTTCTCACACCAGAGAAACAATGTGATATTTATATGTGTGTCTGATTTATTTCACTTAAGAGTATGATCTCTAGGTGCATCCATTTAGGTACAAATGTCTCAAATTTATCCTTCTTTATGGTAGAGTAATACTCCACTGTATAAAAAAATTCCACATCTTTATCCATTCATTAGTTGATGGACATTTGGGTTGCCTCCAAGATTTAGCTATTACAAACTGTTCTGCTGTGAACACGTGTGTGCATATATCACTGTGGTATGATGCTTTTAATTCTTTCAGGAAGGTACTGAGAAGGCAGATAGCTGGGTCAAATGGAACCTCTAGTCCTAATTTTTTGAGGAATCTCCACACTGATTTCCACAGTAGTTGCACCAGTCTATCAATTGTGGAGAAGGGTTCCTTTCCCCCCATAGCCCTGCTAGAATTTGTTATCAGTTGATTTCTTGATAATAGCCATTCTTTGTGGTGTAGAGATGTAATCTTGTTGTTTTAATTTGCATTTCTTAAATGACCAGTGATGTTGAACATTTTTTCATATGTTTATTTGCCATTTGTACTCCTTTGTCTGAGAAGTGTGTATTCATCTCAGATGCCCACTTTTGGATTGGGTTTTAAATTTGGGGGGTTTTGATTTTTTCAGTTCTTTATATATTCTAGATATCAGTCTTTTGCCTGAGAAAAAGCTGGCAAAGTTTTCTTCCCATTCGGTTAGTTGTCTCTTTACTCTGTTGGTGGTTTCTTTTGCTGTGCAAAAGCTTTTTAATAAGATCCCAGTTGTTGATTCTTTGTAATATTTCCAATGCTACTGGGGTTTTGTTATTAAAGTCTTCACCTACACCTATGTCTACATCTATGTCTTAAAGAGTTCTACCTATGCTTTCTTCCAGCAGATTTAGTGTTTCTGTCTTAATATTTAAATCTTTGATCTATTTTGATTTTAGTTTAGCGCATGATGAGAGATATAGGTCTAGCTTTAGTCTTCCACATGTGGAAAGCCAGTTTCCCCAGCACCATTTATTAAAGAAGCTATCTTTCTTCCAGTAAAAGTGTCAAAGACAAGGTGACTGAGTGTTTGGAGTTGTTTCTGCATCTTTTATTCTGTTCCATTGATCCTTGGACCTGTTTTTTTTTTTTTTTTCCCAGTATTATGCTGTTTTTATCACAGTAGTTCTGTAGTACAATTTCAGGTCAGGGATTGTGATACTCCCTCCTTTGCCTTTGTTGCTCAGAATTGTTTTTGGTATTGTTGGTCTCTTCTGGTTCCAAATGAATTTTGAGAATGTTTTCTCTAGTTCTGTGAGGTATGCTATTGGTATTTTCATTGGAATTGCATTAAATCTGCATAACAGTTTTGGGAATATGGCCATTTTCACTATGTTAGTTCTTCCTATCCATGAGCAAGGGCTATGTTTCCATTTTCTGACATCTTCCATCATTTTTTTCAGAGTACTGTAGTTTTCAATGTAAATATCTTTTACTTCCTTTGCTGAATATCTAAATATAAATATTCTTTTGTAAATATCTTTACTTCCTTTCCTAAGTGTTTAATTTATTTGATGCCGTTGTGAAAGGCATGCTTTCCCTAGTTTCTCTCTCAGTAAGTTTGTTATTTTTGTATAGGAATGCTATTGATTTTTGAGTGTTGACTTTGTATCCAGCTATACTACTTAATTTGGTTATTAAATCTAGAAGTCTTTGGGTAGAATTTTTGAGGTTTTCTATGTGGAGTAGCATGTTATCTGCAAATAATGATAGTTCAACTTCTTCCCTTCCTATCTTTATTCCTTTTATTTCTTTCTTTTGTCTAATTGCTCTGGCTGTTTCTAGAACTATATTGAATAGGAGTGGTGACAGTGGGCATCCTTGTCTTGTTCCTGATTTTAGAGTGAAAGTTATCAGTTTTTTGACCATTTAGTATGATGTTGGCAGTTGGTTTGTCATAGATGGGTTTCATCAGATTGAGATAAAGACCATCTATTCCAATTTTCTGTAGAGTTTTTTTTTTTTTAATCACGAATAGGTGTTGGACTTTGTCAAATGCCTTTTCTGCATCTATTGAGATGATCATGTGATTTTTGTCCTTGGCTCTGTTAATATGATGAATTACATTTATCGATTTGCATGTGTTGAACCATTCCTGCATCCCTGGGATGAATCCTACTTGATTGTGGTGTATAATCTTCTTGATGATTTACTGCATTCTGTTTGCCAGTATCTTACTGAGGATTTTTGTGTCTATATTCATTAGCTAGATTGGCCTGTAGCTCTCTTTGCTGGTTGTATCTTTCTCTGGTTTTGGTATCAGGGTAATACTTGCTTCTAGGAATGTGTTTGGGAGTAATGCTTCCCTTTTGATTTCATTAAAGAGTTTGAGAAGTAGTGGTATTAGACTTTCTCTGAATTTCTTATAGAATTCAGCAGTGAATCCATCAGGACCTGGGCTTTTCCTTGGTAGGTTTTTAATTACTTCTTCAATTTAATTGACTGTTATTAGATTATTTAAAATTTTTATATTTTCTTGATTCAGCTTTGGTAATTCATATGTATCTCAGAATCTGTCCATTTCTTCTGTGTTTTCTGTCTTATTAGAATAAAGGTTCTCAAAATAGGTATTGATGATCTGGATTTCTGTAGGATTTATAGTGATTTCACCCTTTTCATTCCTAATTGTATGGATTTGAGTCTTTCTTTCATTTTTTGGATAATGTTGGCTATGGTTTTATCAATTTTATTTAATCTTTCAAAGAACAAATTTGATTTAACTAATTTAATTTCTTTGATTCTTTGTATTGTTTTAAAATCTGAATTGCATTTATTTCTGCTCTAATCTTTATAATTTCCTCCACTGTACAAGCTTTGGGCTTGACTTGTTTTTTCTCTAGAAGTTTGAGGTTCAACATTTGGCTGTTTATTTGAGCTCGCTGTTTTCCTGATGTGAACATTCACCACTAAAAATTTCCCTTGGAGACTGTGTCCCAGAAGTTTTGGTATGTTGTACCTTTAATTGTAGAACTGTCTAATGTTTGAAAAATTGCATCTCTGACCCATTGGTTGTTGAGGAGGGTATTATTTAATTTCCTTGTGTTTATGAAGTTTTTGTGGTTTCTTTTGCCATTGATTTCCAATTTCACTGCATTATGATCTGATAATATGCACGGGATAATTTCAATTTCTTTGCATTTACTGAAGCATGTTCTATGAGCTAGTATGTGATCTATTTTGGAGAAGATCCCACGTGCAGCTGAGAAGAATGTGTATTCTAATGTTGTGGGTGGAGCAAACTGTAGACATCTACTAAATCCATTTGTTCACAGGTGTGGTTCAATTCTGATATTTCTTTGTTGATTTTTTTTTTTTTTTTGCCTAGTTGATTTGTCTATTTGTGACAGTAGAGTATTGAGGTCCCCCATTACAATTGTGTTAGTCTTTATTTAACTTTTCATGTCCATTAATATTTGTTTTATAGGGCTGAGGATTTAGCTCAGTGGTACTGCACCTGTCTTGCAAGTGCAAATCCTGAGTTTGATCCTCGGTACCCCCCCAAAATTTGTTTTATACAGTTGGGTGCGTCAGTATTTGGTACATATATATTTTATGATTGCTATATCTTCTTTTTGGAGTTTTCCCTTAACAAATATGTAATGACCATCTTTGTCTCTTTTTGATCAGTCTTGGCTTGAAGTTCACTTTGTCTGCAAATAGAATTGCTACCCCTGCTTTTTTTCTGGGTTCCTGTCACATGAAGTACTTTTTTCTATCCTTTGACTTTCAGTGTTTAAATTTCTTTTTGAGTTAAATGTGTTTCCTTTATGCAGCAAATTGTTTGATCTTGTTTCTTGATCCATTCTGCCAGTCTGTTTCTTTCGATTGGTGAATTGAGACTATTTATATTGATGGTTATTACTGATATGTATTGGCTTATCCTTGTCATATTATTTTCCTGTTTTTGGTTCCCTGTCTTTCCCTTCTGTTTAATTTCTTGCCTTTCCTGGTGGCTGCTTTCTGTTGGTATTCTTAGAATTGTGGTCTTTGTTATCTCTTTCTAAAATACCTTTCAGAAAATTTTGTAGAGATGGTTTGGTGGTCTTGAATTTCTTCAGTTGTTCATTGTCATGGAAGTATCTTATTTCTCCATTGATTTTGAAAGATAGTCTTGCAAGGTTCATCAATCTGGGTTGGAGGTTATTTTTTTCAAGACTTGAAATACTTCACTCTAAACTCTCCTTGACTTAAGGGTTTGTGTTCAGAAATCTGCTGTGATTCTGATGGGCTTTCCTTTATAGTTGACTTATTTCTTTTCTGTAACAGTTTGTAATATTCTCTTCTTGTGCTGAATTTCTGGAATCTTGATTATTATATGTCTTGATGTAGATTTATTTTGGTCATGGCTAATTGGTGTTCTACATGCCTCACTTATCTGTATGTGCATTCCCGCCCCCCCCTCCACGCCCCAATGCTTGGGACGTTTTCTGCCATTGCTTCTGTTAACAGGTTTTTTATGTCCTTTGCACTGACTCTTGCTTTTTCTTTGACTCTGATTAATCTTATATTGTTCTTCTTTTATCATCTTGCACTTG